CTGAAGAGCCACCCATCCCAAGCTGACCTTTGTTTTTTCCCATGTCACTTTTCTTCTAGAGCAGAACTATTGTGAATCTCGCTATCACTTCCTGCACTCGATGGATGGGGAAGGTTGCGCGAATATGTTGGTAGAATATTCCTCTGCCAAGGGATATCGCAGCGAAGTGGACATGTTTGTGGCTCAAGCTGTGTTGCAGTAGGTGTTCCTTTCTCCGTCGGATCTTTCAGCCCATACTTTTGTGTCCTATCCACCATGGCCAAAACAAGGCATGGGTTGACCATTGGTTTCTCACCACCTACTATTTGGCCATAGGGCTGTAAGAAATGGCGATTTATCTTCCAACCATCCAGCTGGGTTGATGTGTTTTGGTCTCCTTTAATAGTTGTCACAAATATGTTTTTCCAGGAAGGCATCTAGGCTGGATTTTTTTTTCCTTGAGGAAGAAGATGATGTTTCACATCTCACCTGAGAATTCTTGGATGAGAAGTGAAACTACTACTATTTCTCTTCCTCCCCTCCTCCTCTTCTCCTCTCCCTCTTCTCTTGCTCCTCTCTTCCTTCTGCCCCTGTCCTCCCCTTCTCCCTCTCCTCTTCCTCCTCCTTTCCTCCTGTCTTTCTCCTCTCTTCCTCCTCATTCTCTTCCTCCTGCTCTCCTGTCCTCTTCCTCCCCTCCTCTTCCTCCTCTCTTCCTCCTGCCCCTGTTCTCCTCCCTCTCCTCTTCCTTTCCTCCTGTCTTCCTCCTCCCCTCCTCCTCTTCCTCCTGTCCTCCTAATTCTCTTCCTCCTGTTCTCCTGTCCTCTTCCTCCCCTCCTCTTCTTCTTCTCCTCTTGCTCCTCTCTTCCTCCTGCCCCTGTCCTCCCCTTCTCCCCCTCCTTTCCTCCTGTCTTCCTCATCTTCCTCCTGCCCTCCTCATTCTCTTCCTCCTGTTCTCCTGTCCTCTTCCTCCCCTCCTCTTCCTTCCCTCCTCTTCCTTCTCCCCTCCTCCTCTCCTATCCTCTTCCTCTTCTCTTGCTCCTCTCTTCCTCCTGCCCCTGTCTTCCTCTTCTCCCTCTCCTCTTCCTCCTCCTTTCCTCCTCCCCTCCTCCTATCCTCCTCCTAATTCTCTTCCTCCTGTTCTCCTGTCCTCTTCCTTCCCTCCTCTTCCTCTTCTCCTCTTGCTCCTCTCTTCCTCCTGCCCCTGTTCTCCTCTTCTCCCTCTCCTCTTCCTTCTCCTTTCCTCCTGTCTTCCTCTTCCTCCTGTTCCCCTCCTCATTCTCTTCCTCCTGTCCTCTTCCTCCTGTCCTCTTCCTTCTCCCTCCTCCTCCTCTCCTATCCTCTTCTCCTTGCTCCTCTCTTCCTTCTGCCCCTGTCCTCCTCTTCTCCCTCTCCTCTTCCTCCTCCTTTCCTCCTGTCTTCCTCCTCCCCTCCTCATCTTCCTCCTGTTCTCCTCCTCATTCTCTTCCTCTTCTTCCTCCTCCTCCTCGTTCTCTTCCTCTTCTTCCTCCTCCTGGAAAAAAAAAATCCCCCCAGCCTCTGAGACAACCGTGACCTGAATGAGGGAGAATCTCCATAGACAAATTTACCAATTTGCCGTTCATTCCCCGTTTTAGATTCCTCTGCTTGAAAAACAAAACCAGCGCCTTAGTGGTTTTCACGACGTACACGGAGAAGCACCCTTCCATAGAAAGCGGCCCCCCCTTTGTACAGCCCTTGCTTAACTTCATCTGGTTTCTGCTGCTGGCAGTTGACGGGTAAGCGTTGCACGAAGCCGCCAAGGGCACGCTTCCTTTTTTTAAAGTCTTAAAAGTTTCACCTGAAACGTACCTCTGTGTGTGTCGGCTGTTTTCTTCTTTTTTAGAGGAAAGCTGACCGTATTTACAGTATTGTGCGAACAATACCAGCCTTCGCTGAAACGGGATCCCATGTATAACGAAGTAAGTTTTATCCCAAGCGGGATTGTATATTTTTCACATCCCCCCTTTTTAATTCCTCTGTCTTTTTTTTTTAAAATCTGAGGGT